ACCCCCCAATTATTTTATTTTCTGTTTCCAGGCTTGTGGTCTGCCCTGCCCTTGGCGTTGCTGCTGGGTCTGAGTGCCAGCCCGGGGGACTCCGGCTCAGGTAGGAACCCTTCGCGGCCAAAGGGAAAAGCCAGCCAGTTGAGGCAACCCTGGCTATGCCAAGGGCCATTTGCCCCCCAGAGTTGCTACCTGTTGTAACTCTGAATGTGACGGGACGGGGAGGGAATTTTTGCATGCAGGACTGGAAAGTGATCTTACGAGCTATACTGAATTTTGTCCTGGCCCCACCTGCCGCTTTTTGGTGTTCTCCAGGGAATTGACGCCACGTTCCATGTTGAAAATAAGTTTGCTCTACAACTATTGCTTGTGATTGTTCAGACAGCAGGTTGAGGGATTCTCCGTCCGTCCCTCCCTCCCACCCACAATTTTACAGTGGATGTCTAATTTTGTTTTGGGTGCGTTTTCAAACGTGATGGCTTGAAAGCAGGCATACATTTCAAAGACAGAGCAAATCAGCGAGGCAAGAAAAGAGAGGGAACCGTCCAGAAATCAAAAATCCAAGAAGTGGGTTTTATACAGTTTTGCCAGGTCTGAATCCTGGTTGAGAAGCTTGTCAGGAGAGGCAGAGAGACCCAGCTAGGGGCAGTCCTTCTGAATTCGCTGGAATTCGCTGTTTGTTGCACAATTTTGCTGTAGGTTTTTTTTTTTTTTTAATGGAAGCAACGTTAGAAAACTCTCTGTATTCCAGCCTTTCGTTCCTACAAAGAGCCATTTGCAATTACAACAGCACGCCATGTGATTTTCCGTTACAAAGCCCCGTGCACCTTCTAAGGCTCCCTGTATCTTTGCATGGATGCCTGGGGACAACTGTTTGGTTCAAGGGTCTTCTCCTTCTAGGAAGTTGCACGTTCTTCATAATTTGGAAGAGTCCATCTATGTCGGTTCCCACTCCAAGCGCCTCTTTGTCATCTCCTGATTCTCTTTCCTTCCTTCCAGCAGGGTCACTGGTACAAGTTACATTTATGGTCCAAATATCTCTTGTTTTCTTTGTTCAAAGACCCTTCTGAGACTTTTCTCCTATGCCACATTTAGGACTTCAAGATCTGATCTTTTACAACGCCAAGGGATTCTCAAAATTTGCCTAAAAAGCCATGTTTCAAAGGCTTCCAGGCTGTTCTCAGTGTCCTTGGATATTATCCAAGTTTAGTTTAGTTGGCAGACTGTACCTTGAGGTCTTATTGGAGCTCTGCCTTTTAAGAGACTATAAACCATTGTTTGCCCCAAGGGGCTGCACAAGACTGACACAATGGGAAGGCGATGCAACCTTTGGGGCCACGTGCCACAAGAGAAGGTATCCAGGTCACTAGGACCATCCTCCACCAGAACTGCAGTCTGCAACAACCCTCGCATTCCCCTTTCCACTTAAAGTGCAACTACGATCTGAAATTGCTGGCTTCAAGTTTATCTCAATCCCGGATTCTCTTTTTTTCTCCTGCTTACTCCACCAGCCATAAAATGGGCACTCTGCAACACCGAGATGGACTGGACGATGGGAACGCTTGTCCAGCACTTTACCATTCAGAAATATTAACTGCACACCTGCCTTTGCTTTGCTAAAGCATCTGCAGAGCAGCGCGCTCATCGCAACAGGCGAGGCGGTGTCCAGACTTCCAGCTTAATCCAAGACTGGAGTTTTTGAAGAGTAAAGCTGCCGTGTTTCTGCGCACCTTGAACGCTCATGCGTTGCTCATTTTTTACAAAACGTTACGCTCCGGCCAGCAAACAGAGTTATATACAATCTCAGGCCCAATCTGAAATTAATTTGCAACTTTGCTGTTACTGTGGTTTTGTCACGTAAACCGTTACGCACACGTCCCTGTTCAGATGCCAGACGTCAACAATCACTTGTTTCTATTTGCGACAGAGTCGTCCGGTTTAGGGCACAATCTAATGCGTTTGCTTCCACGAAAACATTCACAGATGAGCTCTCCGAGGGGGCAGATTTATCACCTCGTACCTTCCAAGTTTATTAAGGGGCCGGTTGTCTGAGCTTTCACCCAGAAGTCTTGCTTTGCCGAGGGTCGCGTTTTATTGCCACAGACGATGCTGAGACTCCCCTCTCGCCCTTCCTTGGATCTCTTTCTCCCTGCAGTGGACCCCTGCTGCTATTTCCCATGCCAGCACAGTGGTGTGTGCGTCCGGGTTGGCACGGAGGGGTACGAATGCGACTGTACCCGGACCGGATACTTTGGCCCCAACTGCAGCTCGCGTGAGTATCGCTCTGGGCATCTGTGGGGGGGCAGGGGCTGTTGGAGTGATACCTGTGCGAAGGGGCGGGCCGAGGCACAGAACCTCCATGTTTAGAGGCAGTCTACCTCAACATTAACCCCCCCCCCCCAACTAGAGAGCTGAGAAGGAAGCTTCACGTTTGCACCTTCTCGGTGAATCGTCCCAATGGGCCACCTTTGGGGAAACATCCGTGCGGTTTTCTTCTTTCGTCCCCCAGCGGGGTTCTGGATGTGGGCCTACAACGCCCTGAAGCCGAGTCCGCCGTCCGTCCACTACCTGTTGACCCACTTCCGCTGGCTCTGGAACGTCGTCAACCGGACCTTCCTCCGAGGCGCTTTGATGCGGCTGGTGTTGACGGGTGAGGGCGCGAGGGCTCTCGCGGGCGGGGCCTTGTGCCCCTCTTGCCGCAGGAGGGCTTCCTGACCGGTTGGGCTGAAGCGGCCGGATCGGGTTGCTCTGCTGCCCCTTCCGCGCCCAGACCCGTCCGTGAGTCCGCGCAGCCGCCGGCCCTTGGCCCCCCCACAGACCCTGGAGTGGGCCGCGCTCTGCCTCTGACGCCTCTCCCCCTCCCACCCTCGGGTGCCGCTCTCCCTGCAGTCCGCGCCAACCTGGTCCCCAGCCCGCCCACCTACAGTTCCAGCTACGGATACCTGAACTGGGAGTCCTACAGCAACTTCAGCTACTTCACTCGCATCCTCCCGCCGGTTCCGCCCGGCTGCCCCACGCCGATGGGAGCGAAAGGTACTGGCCCTGCTTTCCTTGGTCGGGAGGAGGGGGGCTGACGGGCGTGCCGGGAGGCCCCCCTCGGATGGCGCGTTTCCCTCTGCCTCGCAGGGCCAGCGCAGCTGCCAGAGGCCGAGCTGGTGGCCGAGCAACTCCTGCTGCGCGAGACCTTCCACCCGGACCCCCGAGGGACAAACCTGATGTTTGCCTTCTTTGCCCAACACTTCACGCACCAGTTCTTCAAGACGTTTGGCAAGATGGGCCGCGGATTCACCAGGGCTCTGGGCCACGGGGTGAGGAGAGAAGCCAGGCCTCGGCAGGCTGAACGCAGGGACCTTTGTAATCCCCCCCCCATTAAAATCCAGTCGTCGCTGCGTGCAGACCTTGAGGCGGGAGCGGTAAAGGCACTGCTTAGCCCTTGCAGAAGAATCCGGAGGACTCGTGTCTTAGGTTTTGTGGAAATGTGGGGAAACACGCAGAGGAGGGGAGGTCCAGAGCCAGCAGGGTCGATTCAAGGGTCCCCCACAGAGCTCAGCTGGGGTTTGGCTTAGCCTACCCCATCGTCACTGGCCGGTCTTGAAACGAAACAAGTACCACAGAGCACGTACAGAATGTATTTCTTCTTCCAGCAGCAAACTAAAAAAACTACGCACAGCATCTGGGGTTCTGCATTTGTACATCCCCTTGTGAAAGCTTGCAACAAACACACCTCCAAGAAATTATCCTAAAAGAATCCAAGCCCCTTTTACAGAAGGAAACGTGTCTCGAGAGGACAATAAATGATGAAAGAGCAGCCGGGGATAAGGGTTTATGAACTTCTCTTCCACCATTCCCCTGCTCTTGATCCTCTCTCCGCTCCCCCCACTAGCTTTTCAAACTTCGTTGGATTACGAATCAACTCTCTCTCTCTCTCACACACACGGAGGGGATAAAGAAATTACTCACAGATTCATGTTGGCTCTTCCTGCAGGTGGATCTTGGCCACATTTATGGGGACAACTTGGAACGCCAGCATCAGCTGCGCCTCTTCCAGGACGGGAAGCTGAAATACCAGGTATGAAGGTTAAACGAGCCTCTTGTAGCCTGCGAAAACGCTAACTTCTGCCTGGCTGTTGATATGATTCCTCCAGAAAGAATCTCATCTACGGGGCAAGCTGGCAAATATGCCGCCCTTTCATAGAGCTCCTCAACTGGTGCCATCCACCTTGGCTGGACTACTATGCCTGTCATCCACAGCCAGCATGGGACGATGGCAGATAGAGTTCAAGATGAAGAGTCTGGCAACGCCCCAGCTCCCCCATCCTGCCAGCCGCTCTACTTTCGAGGAGTTTAGCGATGGAGAGAGCCCTCCTTTGCCTGCCCCTCCTTTCAACAGATGCATTTCCATGGCAGTAAACGTGGTTAAACACAAGTCAAAAATAAAGCTGCGGGCGCAAGAGCACAGCAAACCCCAGAGCCAAGGACTCCCACTTGGGGACTCCAGATATTTGATAACAGCCCGGTCAGCTCCAGCCAGTGAGAACTGTTATCCAGCACCACTGATGGCTGCGGTTTGGGGAAGCCTAGAGAAAGCCTTTTCCCACCACGTGCTGGGAGGCTCTTCCCATCTCCAGAGGGACTAGCAACTAAGCGTAGCCCTTTGCTCTTCCCTCCCCAGATGGTGCAGGGAGAGATGTATCCCCCAACAGTGGTGGAAGCCGCCGTGCACATGATCTATCCAGAAGGCACGCCGCCAGAGCAGAAGTTTGCCACGGGCCAGGAGGTGTTTGGCCTGCTCCCGGGCCTCCTGGTGTATGCCACCCTCTGGCTGCGTGAGCACAACCGCGTCTGCGACCTGCTGAAGCAGGAACACCCCACCTGGGATGACGAGCAGCTCTTCCAGACCACCAGGCTGATTTTGACAGGTACAGGTGCAGAAGGCTCCTGGCCATGAGTCTGGGGTTCAGGGTCTTGGAAGGAGCCAAAAACAGGCAGTGTGAGTAAACCACTGAGTATTGCCCCAGGTCCCAGCCATTTCAGAAGGCATCCCCAATGCCTTCACAGCCACCGGCATTTCCTGCTGTGTGTTCTGACAACTTGAGTTGTCACCTTGAACACTGGTCACAGCTAGCGCATCCTCTCCATGGCCTTCCTCCCTCTGCTCTTTCCAGGTGAGACGATCAAAATTGTCATTGAGGAATATGTCCAGCATCTCAGCGGCTACCATCTGCAGCTTACGTTCGACCCAGAACTTCTCTTTGGCATCCAGTTCCAGTATCAGAACCGTATTGCTCTGGAATTCAACCAGCTGTACCACTGGCACGCCTTAATGCCGGATTCCTTCAAACTGCCAGACAGAGAATACAGTTACGACCAGTTCCTCTTCAACACTACCATTCTGACCCAGTATAGCATAGAGACCCTTGTAGAGGCCTTCTCCAAACAGCGAGCAGGACAGGTGGGTCGGTGGCAAGATCCAGGGGGCATCTGCATGCTGAGCAGGTGGCTGGACCCAGCCAGTCTTCTCCAGACTTGGCACCTTCTTGGTGATCTTCAACTCTTAGCCAGAAAGCCCCATTTGGACTCATGGGGCTACCTCCACATCTAAACTGCTTCTCTCCCTTCCATTTTCTTAAAGAGAATTGGATAATATGTAAGATCCTTCTCTTTCCTATTATCTTATATATTCTTTTTTAATCCAGTTTGTTGCCCTCCTTATTTGGGGGCATTAAAATGCCATTTTTTTAAAACGTCCCTCTAAAAGTGTGGAGAGGGGTGAACCTTTGCTGAAGCTTTTGAGAGCTTCCTATTCAGTGCAGCAGAGTTGCTGACGTTCTGCTCCTGGAAGAGAAGGAACTTCTCAGGCTGCAGATCCAGAGGCTGGCCTATCTTAGGCTGACTTTTTTTACTGTTCTTGACAAAGGGCCTTCTCTGGCTCCTCCTTTCCAGATCGGTGGGAAGCCAAATATCAACAAGAACCTTCTGAAAGTAGCTGTTGCGGTTATCAAGGAATCGCGGCTGATGCGCCTCCAGTCTTTTAACGAGTACCGAAAGAAGTTCCATCTTAAGCCGTACGAATCCTTCCAGGAACTCACAGGTACGAGCCCCAGCAGAAATCTCAAGGTCACTGAAGGCTTCTTGAGATGCTGTCACCTCACATGCCCCTTCTTGAAAGAACTGGCTTGGCCATGCTGGGTGCAGGGATGATGACGTTTCCCTCCCTGGAAAGCTAAACAGAACCTCCAGAGTCAGAGGCAGTTTAGTTCTGAAGATGAAATTGGTTGAATGACAGGTCACGAAGACCAGAGGAAGGATTCTTGATGGCTTGTCCAAGGTGGCTTGTACAGTAGTGTGACTGTAGCAATTTCTTCCACCCAAAAGCATTGAAAACATGAATGGGCCACTATCCAAAGTAGCTTTTGCACGGTGGGTGGAACAGCAGGAAACCCCAGTACAGGTATGGAAACCTTTGTATGTCCTTGACAGGCTGCTGTGCGACAGAACTCAAATCCCTCATCTGCTGATCTTCTCTTCTCTTCTCTTCTCTTCTCTTCTCTTCTCTTCTCTTCTCTTCTCTTCTCTTCTCTTCTCTTCT